GTTTAAAACAAATGCAAAAATAATAGATGATAAAAAAGATGACAAAAATTAAAGAAGATAAAAGATTAACTAGATGAAGTACCTAAGCCTTATTCAAGATAAATTCTTTAAGATTTTCTCTAGAATTTTTGCTATAAAATTAAGATTTCTCCTGAAAGCTGTATTAACCTTTATTTAATATATATTTCTCATGAATTTCCTTGATAGAGTTAGAAATTATCCAGGTGTCTATATATATCTTATTTAAGTTAAATTCTGTAAAAATGTATCAAGAATTCCAACTAAAACTCAAATAAAATATAAGGTTAAATATATATTTTCCTCTTGGAAGCTTAATAGGTTATATCTATTAATTTATGTTAAATTCTGTAAGATTGTGTCCCAGAATTCCTATTGTAAGCTATATATAATATTACTTAAAATCTATATTCCCCCCGAATTTTTATGAAATTTCCCTAACAGTATTAGAATTTCTCTTAGTGTACTATCTATGGGGCGCCTGTCACGGCTACCGCTGGCCACTCCCCGCTGTCCAGATCTCTGGCGCCTGGCAATGGACGCGGAGAAAAGAAGCCGGAGGAGCTGGAGAAGCCGGAGGAGAAGCCGGAGAAGCCGCAGAGAACCACAAACAAATTAGTCAATGACGCGGCGATCTTACCGCTTTGTGAGTGCGAGTGTATTTTCATTAATATTTTATTGCTTAATTCCTTTTGTTATGCTGATTATGCCGACGAGAGCTGCGCCGAACACTGAACAAATGAGGCTGCTGATGCTACACTCTCTGTGTTCATGGGAAAAACGACTACGGATTGTTGCATGATTTTCAATAATTTAACAGCGGCTTTCAATAATCCCTAGCTGTGCTTTTCTATGGATCTGTGGATACTGTGTGTTCTTTTGCTTTTGCTTTTGCTTTTGCTTTTATGTTGCCAGACACAAATGTTAATTTCAGTTTGTCTCGGTAATTTATCATCTTTCCTGCTGCTGCTGCTGTTATTCTTTATATTTTTTTGTGATGCCTTAAACGCTTTTAATTAAAACCAATGCGCATGTGTAACTTTCTTAAGCAGTTTCGTCTGTGATGGCTTGTATAGAGACTTGGTCTAGTCGCTGGGCCGACTGGGCTTTGAACTTGGCCGACAGGCGCGTTTGTTAAATGATTGATGTGGTATTAATTTTAATAAACGTTTCTCGGTCCCCACTCGCTGTGGTTTCTTTGTATCTCTCTCTCTCTCTGTCTCCCTGTGCCCCATCAATATGCAGATATGAAGCAAAACCCGAGACCAGAGGCTCAGCTCGTTTCGTTCTGCGGTTTTTTGAAATAAAAAAAAGAAGAAAACATTTTTTATGGCCTCACGCAAATGCGTGGCGTCTGCACTTTGGCAGGTCTTCAACGGGAGGGGGACGAGAGAGGGAGAGATACTGGGGGCCTCAATCATATTGCCTCAATCATATTGCGCCTACTCGGCGTTGCTGACTCTATTAAAAGTGTCATGCAATTCGCTAAAAAAAAGAAAAAACACATGCAACAAGGACAAAGACCAAGTTTGATCGTTGCAAGTTGGCCAATAAAGCGACAGAAAAGAATGGGAAATTAATTGAAAAATATAGCTCATTTTAAGAGGGATTTTATGTTATTATAAAGTTAATTCAAGTTGCTTAAAGCCTGATCATTTAAGTCACATTATTTATCAAGTTTTTCAGCTATAGATACTTCTTGAAAGTTAGTTTTAATGCAGTTTATTTAAATCCCAAAGGCCTTATGCCACAATCTAATACGTTTTATGTTTTAATAAACTTATATCAAATTGCTTAACAACTTAGCAGTGTAGCATCAAAATTTAGTTAGTTTTTTAACTATAGATACTTTTTGAAACAAACTTTTAATACAATTCATTACATTTCCAAAAACCTTATGCCACAATCTAATACGTTTTATGTTTTTATAAACTAATTTCGCGTTCTTTAAAAACTTAGCAGTGAAGCATTAATATTTAATAAGTTTTTCAGCTATAAATACTTCTTGAAAGTTACTTTTTAAGACAATTTATTTAATTTCCAACGACCTTATGTCACAATCTAATACGATTCATGTTTTCATAAACCAATTTCAAGTTACTCAAAAACTTAGCAAGGAAGCTTCAATATATATCAAGTTTCTCAAGTATAAATACCTTAGGAAAATTATATTTAAAGACAATTTCTTTAATTTCCAAAGACCTTATGCCACAATCTAATGCTAAATACAGACATTATGCATTAGGGACTTACATAACCCCCTTTTTGCTAATTGAAATTGAGAGCATTGGGCCCCCGAAGCCCCCGATGAGATGATCAATGATCATTGATCATTAGCGGAAATCTGTCTTAGTTTCGGACCAGATCAAAGGCCTGATGATGAGCGAATTTTGGAAAGATCGGGGCCAAAAGATCATTATGGCATTGGCTGGTGTTGCGATTTTCAGCCTTTAAGTGTTTTCTTCCGCCGCAAAACAATGGAATATGTCGAAAAGTCACAAATCTGTGTGGAAATACGATCTCTAGAGCCAAAAAAAAATCATAATAATAATAGGAGAAGCAAATCCTAGACTCGCATCATTCCATCGTTAGTTTCACACCTCGAGTGAGCCTGAATAATTGATTTCAACCCGAAAAAAAAGAAAAACTGCGGCGCCTACCTGGTATCTTTGTATCTGCGGCCTGTGCGTATCTGTTAAGCCGTAGCGTTCACTGAACAAGCCGCATCCAATCGATTTGCAGGAATATATGTATCTATGTATCTGTGTATCTGTGTATCTTTTGTATCTCTCACCAGGCCAGGCATTAGATACTCCCCGGCTCAATCATCGACTCTGCGGGCAGGGATTCCAGCTGAGCGGCTGACAAAAGGTGTGCGCTACCGTGAATCGCATCCCCGGGATGCGAATTCAAGAATACCAATTCCAATCCCAAAATCCCGATCCATTTCCGCATCCGTATAGCGCCACAACAACTGTGTGTGTGTGTTTTGTTTATTTGCTGGCCATTGTCAAAGGTAATGCCGTGTAAGTGGGTCTATCCACCGAATTAAATTGCAAATATGTATACATAGTATCGGTAAGATACTTTTGTAGCGACTGCATTCGCCACGCTCATTCGAGGCGAGAAATGATTTATGCTGCGATCTGCGAGTATCTGTGGGATGCATTCATCAAATCATGACTAAGACGGAGAGTTGACTCAGAGAGAATGCCTGGCCCCCGCCGGCGCAGTGAGATCACACGAGAGTGTGTCTTTGAGATACTTTTTTGCTGGATCGGTTTTCGGTTTCAATTTTCGGACAAGTGGGTGTAATTTGAGGCACTTGCTATTGCTTTGGCTAAGAAATGTAAGATACTTGCCACTGTTTTTGGGGTTAGCTAATGTGTCTTTTTACTACAAGATATATTTATGAAAAACCTAACAATTTACTGGAATTTAGCTAGTAATAGTATCTGTGAGATGAATATATCTATAAAACACTTCAAAGATAATATCTGTAAACTCTGTCAGATACTTTATATCTTGTCTTATAAGGAAGAGTATTTTTTAACAAAGAAATCCAAATAAGCATCTATACTTTCTGAATAATATCCCATAGTCTTACTAAATATACTTTTGTTTGATTGATTTGCAACCTTTATCTATTATATATGAGTTAAATTTGATGTAAATAAATAAAAAATAGATATATTTATATATTCTATATATATTTTATTATTCTATATTTATATCTATGAATTTATATATTCCATATATATTTTATTTATTTAAAAAGTCGTTACTTGAACTAGATAACTATTTTAATATCATATATTTGTATATTTTATAAAAAATATACATATTTCAAATGCATTTCATACGTTTCATTACACCGAAAGATTATTGCTTTTGAGAGCCTGTCTTACAAAAATCATTAGTTAGTTTTTTGATGATGTTTCTTTCAACCAAAACTCCAGGTATTTTATGATAAGAATAACCTTTGTATTTTTTCTCTTTCCTATATCTTAGGCTGTCCTATAAGATATTTTTCAACCCATAATGCCTTGAGGTATAGAAGGCATTATTTATATTATATTATATTATTATATTTTAAATGCAATATATTATTTTCAAGTGTTTTTTGTAGAGTGATTATGCCCAATTGTGTTTGCTGTATAAGATACTTTTGCAACGCTCAGATGCCTATATTTATATTGATCTATAAGGACCTATAAGATATTTTTAATCTTATAATTCCTTAAGGAATAGGAGGTATTATTTGGCTGCTAAACTGGTATGGTAATGGTAATGGAATTTCTAGTTCAAGGTATCTAAAGTGTTATTGTTCCATAAAAGATATTTTTTAACCTATTATTAATAAAGGATTATTATTTTCAATCAAAAAAAATTTATATTTTTTGAATTGTATTTCAATAAAGAAAATTCATAGTTCAAGGTATCTAAAGTGATAATGCCCAACTGAGATTGCCTCATAAGATACTTTGCCTCCTCTCAGATACTGATACTGATATCGATCTATAGCAACCTATAAGATATTTTTGAACCCATAATCCCTAAGGGAATTGGCATTACTTCTCAGTTTTTAAACAAATTCTATGTCCAAGGTATCTAAAGTGGAAATGGCAAATTTGTGTTGTTCCCCATAAGATTATTTTTGCATCTCTCAGATACTGATATCGATCTATAGGAACCCATAAGATATTTTTGAACCCATAATCTCTTAGGGAATAATGCTCATTATTTGGCAGTTTATAAATAAATTCAGAGCTCGATGTATCTAAAGTGGAAATGCCCAATTTTTGTTGTTCCCCATAAGATACTCTTTGCATCTCTCAGATACAGATATATATCTATAGTTTTTAAACAGATTTAATGTCCAAGGTATCTAAAGTGGAAATGCCCAATCCCATAAGATACTTTTTGCATCTCTCAGATACCAATACCGAAATCGATATCGATCTCGGGTGTTTCTGACTTACCGGATTAACTTGTGGCTTCTGCAAATGTGTGGCGATGTTTGAGATATTCATGCCCATGGCCGGAATCTGGGAGCCGTAGAGCTGGCCGGCCGTCGGTGTCATGTCCGTGAGCATCGTTGTTGCGGATGTGACTGTTGTTGCTGCTGCTGCTGCTGTTGCTGCTGCTGCTGCTGCTGCTGCTGATGTTGCTGCTTCTGCTGCTGCGGCCGTTGCAGTTATCGCTTGCGGTGCTGTCAACTTGAGGCGCACAATGATGGTGTCTTTGCTCTGTTTATTTTTATATACTTTTTTTAAATTCGTTTTTGAGATATTTTTTCAAATAGTTTGGACTTGTTGTTGCTGTTGTTTCAGCTGTTGCAGGACACTCGCACTGGTTGTTGATTGGGGGAGAAACAGAGAGGGGGACAATGGATTGGCAGGCACAAAAGAACAGCACGGCACAACACAATACGCACACAGAAAAAAACAAAAAAGGATTTAGTCCCAGCAGCAGCAGTGCTTCAGATGTATCCGTATCTGTGACTGTAACTCTAATTGTATCTGTATCTTTAAGCCGTCGGCTTGGCTTTCTTTAGAAACACTTCTTTTTTACTTTTATTTCGTTTATTTGTTTATTTATTTCATGTATTTTTTGCTAGGCCGTCGGCTGGGTCTCTTTATATTTCTGCTCTTATTGTCACTGGTTGCCTTGTTTTTGCTTTTTTCGTCTGCGTTTGGTTTTTGTTGCTTAATTTCTTGATTTATATTTATTAATTTAATTAGATTTGTTTTTTGCGGTTTTTATTACTCGTTGAAAGGAACACAGGCAAAAAATAAATGAAAAAGTTGAATTTGTAAGCGATGAAAAATCAAAGGAATGTCGAACCAAAAAATTCACGAAGTTGGCCACCGGTGTCGCCTGTCCACGGGCTGCTTGTTTATGCTTGTTTATGCTCGGGATTATGCTTGTTTGTTTGTTGTTTGTGTCGCTCTGTCCGCTTCGTTTACTGTTTACTGTTTACTGTTTATGTTTATGTTTATGTTTTTCTGTTTTGTGCTTCTGAGCCAGGAGGCGCCTGCGAGGGCCAACGGAAAAGTGTCGCTTCGCTGCTGTATCCGCGCCAAAAGTAACGCCGTCGTCGCTGATCGTTCAAAGGCTTGCAACTGTTTCACGCGAACAAAAAGCTTGGCCGCTCGTCGACGTCGCCGTCGCCGTTGCCGTTTGCTGTTGCTGCCGCCGTTGCCACCGTCGCTGCCGCTGGCTTCGGGGGAGAGCCATAGCCAAAGCGAGAGCGAGATAGTCGCTGAGCCCATCCGGTCTGTGATAATTTCCTCCCCAACCGAGAGATGGCGCGTGCGAGCGAGACAAGCGTTGAGACAGCATGGCCAGCCAGCCACCACCACCATCACAGCGTAGCGTGTCTCTCTTGCGCGTTCCGTTCATTCATAAAAACCAAAGGCTGGAAAAACCAGTTCCCGTTGTTCCGGCCCCCTCTCTTGCTGTGAACTCTGGCCAATGGCAGCATTGTCTTTCGCTCGCAGCGCCCTAACCTATAATTAGAGCGATGGCCGCTGTGCGAGCGAGATGGTTAGGCAGACACACAGTGCGACACGTGCCCTAGTGGCATCTCGCTCGTACTCGTGCCTCTCACTCGCTCCCATCGCGTGCTAAAGCAGAAAATGCAGCCAGCATTTCTATGTTTTTCTTAAATTAAATGTTGTTGTTTTCCAGGAATTGCTGAAAATCGGCGGAAAAGTACGAGTAATGAAAATAAGGAGAGAACACACAACAGCAAAAAAAAAATGGAAGCGAAATTCTACGCGCTCAGCAAAATGACAAATTGTTTTCCATTTCCAGTTTTCGGGCTTATCGCTTACCGTTATCAGGGCTTAACCGACAGGGAGTTACAGGGTGGTAGAGAGGGGAGTTGCTTTACTTTACCTTACCCCTTTCGACCTGCTTGTTATTCATGTGGTTTTTTGTTTTTTATCAAGAACCGAATTAACCGAAACCAAATTTAGTCAGCCTTTCGGAAAATTATTAAAACTTGGTCGTAGTTAGATATGGAAAGCTATGTAAGGGTTGCTGCAGCGCATTTTCACCCAAGCTTCACCCCGAAAGTAGACTAAGGTGACACAATCGATTCGGATTTGAACTATGTTTTATATAAAAAGATTTTTTATAGTTTTTGATTAATTTATTGCAATGCTTGGAAGCAAATGAGGTGATCTACTAAACTATGTTCAGATTCTAACACAAAACAAAAAGGAAACTCTTAAGTTCTTCTTTAAGTGCCTTTTTTCAATTTGTTTTATGATAATTGTTATACCTTATAACATGATTAGTAATTAACTTTGATCAGTAAATAGCTATGATCAGTAAGTAAAAACCTATGAGCAGTAAGTAACTTTGATCAGTAACTAAATATGATCAGTAATTCACTCTTAACAGTAAGTATCTATGAGCAGTAACTTTGATCAGTAAATAAATATGATCAGTAATTCACTCTAAACAGTAAGTATGTATATATGAGCAGTAAGTAACTATGATCAGTGAGTATCTATAACCAGTAAGTATGTATGTATGATCAGTTAATAACTTTGAACACTAATAAACAATGACTTGCAACTTTTGTAACACAACACATATCTGAGACTGGGCTGGCAGCAGTCACTTCGTTCCGAAGATGTTAGAACCAGTTGGGAATTATATGTCGCATGTGTGAGATTTGTTTTGGAACAAATTTAAAGCTTTCAATAAAACTATGGAGTTATTCTTCTATAGAATTTTACTATAATATAAATCGGAGAATGGTGAATCGGTGGACTATATATATATATATATATATAGCTGCCATAGGAACAATCGGAAAATTATGAGGAAAATTTATAACTTTCCAGCTTTCAATAGATTTTAATCAAATTTAATATATAGGCATTATATATTAATCTAGAATTTTGTGTACATTTTTTGAAAATCGGACTACTATATCATATAGCTGTCATACAACAATTGTGAATGTAAAATTGTAAATATAAAATGTAAATTATTTAAATTTATATATATTCAATTTTATTCATATTCATTTGCATATTCAATGTTTTCTTGTTATTTTTTTTTTTTTTGTCTTTTTATTTGTAAATACCATGTAGAATTATTTAAAGCAATTTTAATAGAATTTTTAACAAGAATTCCAGCTAATTCTAATATTTAAAGGCAGGAAAAAATATAGTTTCCAGAAATCATGTATATTAGGCCTAATTTAAGAATGATTGTTGTGGAAAATTTTTATTCCGTTTCGTAGAGAGGCTTATTTATTTAATACAAATTTGTTGTACTATATTTTATATATTCCAATGCCCAATTTTAATTTAGATTTCTTTCTCACTTCTTTTCTAAAATCCATAATATAAAGATCCCTTCTAATCGTTCAGTTAAAGTTCAAAAATCTTCAAGTTCATGGTTAAACTTGACCAAAAAGAAAAAGGGCGTTGCAATAAAATGCAGTAGTCTGTCGCGTAATATTACATAACTCTGGATACATATGGTTACCACCTATGACTTGCCCCACTCCACTCCCTACCTCCCCGGGGCATTATTCCGCCGAGATTAACCCGTGCCACACACTGGCCTCCCACAGCTGGAAGCTGTGCCGCCCGAACTGTTGCATCTGGGCTGATGCAGTTGTGGCAGTTGAGGCAGGCAGCTGGGGCGTCCTGAGAGGCCGGCTAATTGAACCACACCCCGCCGGTACCGTTCCTCGGTACCGCCCCTCACCGCACCACACCGCACCGCCGCCTTATGCAAACAAAACGCCCAAGCAGCCGAAAAATGCCAGCCCCTTTTGGAAACCGCCCGAAATGGCAAAAAAGCTGAAAAGTCCAACTGCAGAGTGTCGATGGAGGTGGACGAGGAAGTGGATGAGGATGAGGACGCGGATGTGGACATGAAAGTGTGCCTAGCACAAGTCACCGGCTGGCCCCAGGAAACTCTTTAGCACTGCGGGAAAAATTTGTTTAAATGATACCTAAAATCAAAAGGTAAAGGTGGTTCATAATTATAGAATTGAAAGGGGTTAGTTTTGGAAATTTAAGGTCCCTATATAGCAAATAAGAAAGCTTAAATCTTATGAAAAACTATTTCATTATAAACTTTTCATTATAAACCATATAATATAGGGAACTTTTCTTACAGTGCCTTGCCAGAAATTAGGTTTCTCGTGTCTAGCCCTGGGAGTTACCCAGCAAAGTTCTCTCTCTCTCTCTTAACTTTCTGGTTTTCTGGCTAAAATGACCGGAGAGCCAGACGACTCACGACATGGCTGCAGGATAAATGCAACACATTAAGCCAAGAAGGTGGGTGGTTTTTGGTGGGGGAGGAGTGGTTAGTGGTGAGTTCCAGGCAAGGCCAAGCGACTTCCTGACTCCTCATGGCCATGGACTTGCGGTCGACTTCAACAGCTGGGCAAAAAAATAAAAAAGAGTGATAAGGCTAAAGAGATGCCTGATTGCAGAGGGGGGGGAATCCCCCAAAAACTGTTAGCCCAGTTTTGCCTCCTTGCCACAATTTTTCTGTAGTTTTTCTGGAATTTCCGTACCCGTCTCTATCTCTCTCTTTTACTGAGATTTTGCGTGGGCGAATCAGCTTTCGGTACTCGATTGGAGCTCTCTTTCTAACCAGCTCTTCTCTCTCTCTATCTCTTTTGGGCACGCATTTCCCTTACCCTCCCCCCCCAGGTTTTTCGCATTTTCCACCTCTTGTGGGTGGTTACCTCTCTGGGCATTGTGTTGCCTTTTTTGAGTGGCCCTGATTGCCTCACATCAACTCGATACAGTTGCATGTGTGTGTTGTACGGTAAGGACCTGGTATAAGGTATGAGAGTTGATCGATAAATTAAGTAATTACTTTCGATTTTTGCATATTATTTAAAATATAGATTTTAGCAAATAAGATTTTTTGAAATAATATATGGTGTGATAACATTAAAAGCAGATTAAGTGAATTAATAAGGTATATTTAAGAAGGATATACCTCTGGCGTGGCCTTAAATATAGATATTTAGATAATTTATCGATATTTAATTCAAGGGTAGATATATAAATCGATAATTTAATGATAAATCAATATACTCTTTTTAATTTTTTAAACTGTGTCAAAGAAGGAATCAATATTTGACCAGAAGCCCTACATATAAATAAATATAAAAAAATAATAAAGTAAAATAAATAAATATAAATTAATAAATTAGAATAAATAATAAATTAAAATAAATAATATAAATAAATAAAATAAGTAAATATAAATAATAAAAATAAATAACCGATATTTTATAGATATATATAAAACAGAGCCTACGTCTTGAATGGAAAACAATTCTATTTTACAAATGTTAGTTTTAAATAAGTTTCAAATATAGTACAGTAAAATATTTGCTTTTGAACTGGTGTTTTTTTTATCAAAAATAACGATATTTATTATTTGACTTTGATCTTTGTTGATATTTCAAATTTTAAAATATTAAACCAAATCAGTTATTGTTATTTATATAGGTATTTATTACCGAGAATAATATATTCGATATTTAAAAGTTCCAAAATTAAACTGTATGATATTTCGGATATGATTATTATTATGTTTTAAGCAGAGACAGTTTTTCGATATATCTCCTCGATATACATTCCTAATACAGCTTTCTTGATTAACTTTTGCTAC